TGGGCCAACCGGGCTCTCTCCCGCACCATACTTCGTTCGATCTCCTGGATCAGCTCATGGGCCAGTGCCTCATCAATCGTGGGGCACGAATTCTCCACCTTCGTGTCCAACACCAGGCCAGTTGGGTCCGTGAGCTCGAACCTGGTCTTCTCCCAGACCGCCTCGTAGCCCAAGGAAATGAGCACCCCCAAAGGGACAATGACCTGCACATCCTCCTTGGTCAGCAACGTTCTCGTCCACGGGAGCAACCTCAGGACTGCTGACCCTGCGGCCAACTCTACATTGACCTCCTGGGCTCTCGCCCATTCCTCTTCTGAAGAGGTTCTCCTCAAACAGTGGGTAGCTCCTCCGTCCAGAAGCGCCCTTCCTCCTTCTCGAACTTCAAGACTGCTCAGTCGAATGGCCTTCATCGATGAACTCGGCCTCAAACTCTTCAATAAAGTCGTAGCTTCATTCAGCAGGTCCTTCATCTCCCCGGAAGTTCCCGCTCCCTTGTCGCCTTCGCTGGACAGGCTGTGCTCCATCGGCTCACTCCCCCCAGTCTTGGGCCCACCATCACTCGTGTCCCCCTTTGCTTGAGCCGTGGTGACCTTCTCCTTGATGGCTTTCACGGCCTGCTTCTCTGGCGAATAATCCTTCACCTTCGCCTTTGTGGTCGGGCAGTCCCTCTTCGAGTGGCCCGTTCCGGAGCACCCAAAGCACCTCCCCTTTTTCTCCAGCCCGCTCCAATCGTGCTTGAAGCGACAATCCTGGCCTTTCCTGCACCCATCTTCAGTGCCCCAGAACCGACAGACCTTCTCCTCCGGCTTGTAGGAGCCACCACCGGCTTCACCTCAGGGGCCGGCTGCAACTCACTGATGGCCAATGATTCAGCCTCTGCCGTCAGCATGTCAGCAAAGCTCAGGACAGTCTCCAGGGTCGGAGTCACGTCCACACCCAGAGTGGCGCGGGTAGAGGACATTCGGAATGCCACCTGATTGGACGTTTTCCCCACCAGCTCCGACATCTTGTCCAGCGCCCCGAGCAACAAGGTGGCATCCGGAGTTGCTATCTCCAGCTCCTGTGCCCTCCTCAAGCTTCGTCTCCATCCCCGAAGTGCCTCCGTCACCTCATTCATGCTCTGGGGTGCCTTAGGATCAACCAACTGGCGGAGCAACCGGGACCTCTCTGCCAAGCCTCCAGGTTGGTACCTCCGGAACAGGGCGTAGAGGACCTCCACCAAGCTGGTAGTCCTGCTGGCCAAAATCTCCGCCTTGATGCTCTGCGGCACTGCATTGATCAACATCAGCTGACCTCGTTGTTCGAGTCGACTCCAAACCCCGGAGCACTCAGACGGAAGTCTCGGCCTGATGTAGAGTCTCTGTACCGGCTCTGCTTGAAGCCATTCGCGGTATGCCACCATGGCGAAGTTCAGCACGTCCTCCCACCATTTCCAGCTTGTGGCACTTAGATCCTTCATCGTGGGCGTCACCAGCTGGATCCAGTCTCCCAGGATCAACGATCCCAGATCCCCTTCTCGAAGGTCTTGTAGAGGTGGTAGTTCCACAGACCGAATCACCTCTGCCCACTGTCCCTCCGTCGGGCTGGTGCCAAGCTGTCTCAACACCGACTGAGCTGCTTGCTCAAGAGGGGATCCCTTGATCAGACCCTTCAGACCTTCTCCACTCCCACTAGCCTCTCGATCAGCTTCTCGATGGTGTCCATCACATAGTCCCCACCCTCCGACACCCCAAGAACCGGGCACTTCAGGAACTCCCGAACCCCGAGATACTTGGTCTCTCCTCATAGTGTCACCCTTCACGGATACCGGGAACTCTGGAATCTGCAAACCGGCCCACGCCTGATCTGAGTCCTCCTTCTTTCCCTTCACCGGTGTGCACGGAGGAGGATCCTTTGGAGGTGAAGGCGGTGGGGTGGTTGCTGGAGGTTTTGGTGCATCCTCGATGGCCCCCCTAGGCTTCACTCTCGAGTCCTTGACCTCCTTCCTCAACTCCCCAACCTCCTTCTTCAGGGCGGCATTCTGTGCCATGACTGCTCGGAGGAGTTCCTTGATGTCCATTGAAACCCCCCGTTCCTCCTCAGTGGGCTCCACCCGTCCAGAGGGTTGGGGCACATCAGCTTCTCCATCCGGCAACGCTGAAGGTCGCATCGCCCTCAGCCGCGCCTCTGCCTGCATCCGCTCGCTCCAGAAGGGGTTGATCTGGACAGCCTTGGACGCGTCTCCCTTCCCTTTCCCAGGATGTTCACCTCGGCGTTGAGGTCCGTAGGTCATCGGCGGACCATGGGCCGGCACCAGCGCCGTCGAGGCTGGCACCAAAGCGTCAGTGGCATCCTCCAGGGCCAAGATCTCCTCTTCCTTGGCGCTCTCCATCGAGCCCTCCTCTGGCGTGCTGGCCGCGTTCGCCGCAGCGCCAGCCGCCCCAGCCGCAGCACCAGCTGCCGCGCCAGCCGCTCCAGCCGCCGCGCCAGCCGCTCCAGCCGCCGCGCCAGCCGCTCGAGACGGCATGGGAGCCAGCGACCAGTCCTCCCTCGTGGAGGTACTGGGTGGTCTTCAAGACCGAACGGTTGGGCTCATAACCTACGTGAGCGCGCTGCGCTCTATTTTGCGCACAAAAAGGGCTTCAGTATGTAAATATGCTTGATCATAGCCTTAAGGCCTTGACCTGGCTGGTGTGCAACCTTCTACACATGTTCATAGCCAAAAGGTCGTGACCTGGCCTCCGAAACTTGGTACACTTCTATTTGTGCACCCACAGAACCAATCCCTAGGTTTTGAGGTGCCAAGGGCTGTTTGGAGCGCCTGGCAAGGAAGAAAAAGTAGGTCACCGTGGGAAACACTCCCATCTCCACATGGGACGAGCACGTACAAATGGCCGGACGACGGCTGGGAGTATAGGGCATGTCCTTTGTATGCCAGCAGAGGTTGAAAAAAACCCTATACACTATCCTATAGGTCCTAGTTCAGGGGAACACCACATCTTGCCTCCACTTGGGCATTTTCATTGGATGTCATTTCAGTGAGCTCACATCAAATCACCGCAGGCGCCCCACACCGCCTGGTGCAGTTCTTCCAGGCGCCCAAACAGGTCGGCCACGGTCACAATCCTGGAGACGGCGAGACGAGGGGCCCCAGTCGACCCTAAGAAACGTCCGGGCACCCATGTGGCACGATAACGACAGCGAAGGATAACGACTGTAGAAGGATAACAAGGATTCAAACTACCCTTCATTAGAGAAAAACATGTAGAATCCTCCAATCTACCAGAAATCTTGGATTTCGTTGCTTAGTGCTCGGTCAGTGCCGGTCACCGCTTTTTGCTTGATCGCGCCAGGGCACACCGGCGACGCAATGGCATCGGGATCCGGCCGACGAGGTGGAGGACCTCCCGGTCCAAGCGAAGCGAAAAGCGAACTTCGGCTCCGGTCGATGCGCGGAAATTCTCCAGATCCCTCCTTCTCTAACTTCATTCTAGATCTTGGAATATTTCTCAGGATCAATCTGGTAGGGATATTTTTTGGAATGTATCGGAATCCGTTCATTTAAATATATACGAATATATATAATATATTATATATATAGTTTCTCAATGCCACATCATCTTGAGAGAGTTCCTAAAGCGCTTGTGGAGTTGGCATGCTTCGACCTGAACAGCCTCGGTCGGTCGGCCCTCGGCCTGCCATGATATTCGTGCTCTCTCTTCGCAGCTTCTCATCCTGGGCTCGGACCGGACGGGTGCATACACGGAACTCACCAAGCCAACTAGTCTAGTCAACCGGAACTAGCAAACAAGTCTTAGTTCAAGCAAGCAAGCAAGCAAGCAAGCAAGCAAGCAAGCAAGCAAAGCAAGCAAAGCAAGCAAAGCAAGCAAAGCAAGCAAAGCAAAGCAAGCAAAGCAAGCGGTCACTTGCATTTGCAAATGCAAGGCGAACAAGTCTTATCAGGTTCAATGATTCTTCAATGCCAAAGCCTAGGCTTCTGACCGGTCCAGCGGCAGCGGGTCCCACGCACTTCTCGCAGCTGGATAAGCCGCCCATGATCGAGGGACCGGCCGCGGGTTCGGGAACTGATGGAAAGCTGATCCGAGGTGCGGCCTTTGCAACACTCAACTGGCTGGAGTGTTAACAGCTTTGCAAGACCGAAACCCACCAACCAACCATCTCCAAAAAGGTCCTCAATCCTTGTCATCGCACAACCGGGTTGAACGAAAAAACCAAAAAAGGTCGTAAAGGGGCTCTGTGGGTCAGGTGGGAGTCCCACCGGTGAAGTTGCCCATCTTGCCATTGAAACTCCTGATCCATGAGGCGATGGCAACTTCACCTGATTCTGAGTGCTAATAGACCCATGTCTGCTCCCAAAAAAGGCAGGTCTGATATGGTCCGATAGGATTTCTGTTTGGAGCATGGCTCTGGAGTCTTGGTATCAACTGCTCATCATCGCTCTCCACACGTGGACGAGCGACTCATTGAGGCGGGCTAAAGGCATGGGCACCACTTCAGTGCCCAGGTTCTTCGAGCCGACGCTGAGTGACAAAGCCATTTGAGTCACAGGTGGGGTCCCTCCTTTCCATCATGTCTCATAATCTACACACATATATGTGTGTGGGCAATGCTGAAATGTTGTATATAAATAAGAAGGATGCATATGTATATATATAGTTATTCATATATGTACTATTTTTGACAAGCAAACAATATGACATTAATATGATATTTTTTTTTCCCCTCTGTGGAGGTCCAGCCGTCCAGCCCCCTCACTGATCCTTCGATTCACTTTCCATTCTAGTTGAACCTGGTCAAACACCTCATGGCGGCACTCGTAGGCACGCTCTAGCATCATTGGATACCATAATTACATACTATAAGCCATCCTGGAGAGGTGGCTCTCCGCAGCTATCTTGCCTTCAACCACCTTCAAACCCCCTACCAACTCCTTCAAAGCCAGGCCCCTGGAAAAGGTTCTACAAGCACTTCACCATCGGAACCCTCCCGGGCATCCCAGCCAGATCAAGACGGTAGACCACTTGCTTCCCGCCAGTCCTAGGAAGTCGTCGCCGGTCCCACGTGATGACCATACCAGGAGGACGAGGAGGTGGCAACGTATCACGTAACACATCACAATTCGAACAAATCGCACTTACAACATTGTTTTGTTGGTTTCTTCACTTTGACCCCAGAGCCATGTTGTGGCTACACACGGACCCGTCCTTCGTGGAAGTGACCCTTTAGCTCTAGAAACAAGGTACGGTCGAGCCACTGGAGCCTTGAAAGACATGGGAGGAGAAGCTACAAATGGTGAGCCAGTTTCTCAAAGACATGTGAGGAAAAAACACATTTTGAGGCGTACACGATCTCACGATCTCGATGTCGCACGGACAATCTATAACACACACCGATAGGACTCAGGACCGGTCTCTGACACCCGGGAAAAGCTGCTGAAAAAGTGGAAGCCTTGAGACCCCAAGTTTCGGCCGGAAGAAATCACCGAAGATGATATGACCATGGGCGAAATCCGCAGCTACTCAGAAAGAGAGAAGTTACCCAAGCTGTGCGCTGCCTTGCATCTGAATGGTTGTCTCTACTCGACCTCTAGATACTCACTATTGAGTGAGAGCTTGTCCACGCAATGCTTGCTGTTTTTACAAGCCGTCGTGTGCGGGCAGGGTAGGAGATACAGTAGCACTCAACATGTTGAGGCTGAAAACTCTTAAATTCAGTTAGTTAGTTCAAAACATGCTAAAAATTACCTGAGCAAGATCAAGATGGTCTAAAAAAAGAATGGGAGGAAACGAATATGAAGGTAAACCCAAAGGCTACGTTTCGCAGCTTCCTGGGCCTTCCCACTCAGCTTGGACTTCCCATGTGCCCACCTCGAGGCGGCATGGTCAGTTCGGCCGGCCACCCACCATCAGCTCAGGTCGCGGTCGGAGAAAGAAACCCTTTAAACCTTAGAATCCCTTTCAGACGCTCAGAGTGGTGATTCTTTCGAGATCTTCGAAGAAGTGTCGTTCGCAGTCGTTCGCATCAATCTAACCCTTCAGTGTCCGGCCACCGTTTGCTTGAGGAGTTGGTGCTCCAAGGCATACATCAAGCAGCTGCGGCGCCTCGGGTGGCGAGGCACATCCGTCACGACGGGTCAGGCTGCCCCATGGCACCGGGGGACCCTGGGGGTTCTTCCCACGGAACATGAACCGAATAGATGACCTACAGGAGCTCAACCTACCAGGCTTTCCGGGCGAAAACGGATGCCACCACCCACTGCCTATGCCAGCACCTGTCGGGGTTCAAGCCGCGGAGGTGTTCGGTGCATCGCGAAGGCGCCAAGGCCCACACAAGGTGGCGAGAAATGGCTCAGCCCCAACAGACACTGGTCTCCCATGCCTTGGTTTGTGCGGATTTGCAAGGCAATGGTGGACTGACCGGGTCGCCTTTCCAAAACATGTTTGGAGAAGGCGCCTTTCAAAGCGTCCAGGGCCCAGCCACTTTCCAGCCATGTACAGTAAGCACACTGAGCATGGAATGCATGAGGTTGAGGCCACTTGGGTGCTGACCCTAGCCTACCTATCGCGGAGTGACATCATGGGTGCCCTCCAGGATTTTCCAAGCCCCCTGCTCCCTTCTTCCTTTTCTCCGAACTTTTGTCAAAAAGTTCAATCTCTTAACTTCAGAGTCTCTCCAAAGCCCCGCACGTTTCATCCCAACTGGCAGTCCCGCTGTCCCCCTGGCCAAAGTAAAACATCGGGCACTCGGTGGACGATGGTCAATACAGTACATGTACATACAAACCAGTGCCAAAATTAGTTATAGTTATAATCTTCTGTTGGAGGTTTGTGAGTGGCATGAGTGGTAAAATCATGTAAAATCCCAAACACTGACCTTATTAAAGTCAATGAGCAGCGCCTCAGGCGCCCTGAGTGCTGGAGTTTGATTGGCATCTGCCTGGCGTAGGCGGCTCAAAGCAACTCTGTACTCTCTATATACTTGTTTACTTTTCTTGTTCTCGTTTTCAGGTGTGTGTGACCACTCTAGATCCCACTGATTCGTTGTGCCCGAGGTTAGCTGAAGCTGTGCCCGAAGCAAGCAGCTTCAGCTGACATTCATCAACGCAAGAACAAAAGGAAGCAAACGCTGACGCGGTTGCTGCTTTTGTTCTCAGAAGTCCTCTTGTGTGTGTGTGTGTTGCCTTGGGTGTTGAAGCACAACATTGGATGACCACCATGTTGAAGGCTGGAACATGTCGGAACAATTTGAACGGTGCCATGTTTTCTCTATGATTGCGTCTAGAGGCTTGCGTGTCCCACTGACAAGTTGAATTAACGTAACCACAAGCGACCAATTCATGCACAAGGCTGACAATGATTCTCAATCATGGTTCCACTTGAGCCGATACCGGCAATTCACACACCTAAATCTCAACGCATCACCGAATCCGACACTCTGGTTGGTTGGCACAGTAATGATTCATTGACCCGCCTCCTTGTGGATCTTCTTCAAGTGTGCCAACCTCAATCTTCCCGTTTGCTTCGGGGTCCTACCTTCCGTCCTGAGAAACTGGAGCGCAGTCTAGACCACATGTTTCGTTGTCCCTTTCTTCGGTTGAGGGTTCATCTTCCATCCCGAAAGGGGGCCCTGCAAATGCTTCATCAATCCAGCGCGGCATCCCGTGTTCTCCATGAGCTCTTTCACCTCCTCGCAAGGTTCCGCGAAGACATGGAAAAACAAACAAACAAATAGATCGATAGATCGCTCACCAAGCATCATTGAACTTCAACCCCGGAAAGTTTCCTCTTGCAAATTGGAGCTGGTCCCTCATGAAACACTAAGATTGAGAGAAGATGGCAGACCCCCCAAAGCGTGGTTCAAACGGAACCCCCGTCTAACACACATCTTCGGTCTTTGCCCTCTACTCCTTGGAACAACTGTACCTATGATTGCATTGCCGCCTTGACCTTAACAGCGAGACCCCGAGCGAGAACTCAGCACGCCTGACTCAGCTTCTTGAAGTCAGAGTTGGGCACCATCTCCCTGACCATGCTTGACCATGCTATTCAGTAGCATCAATCTTTTGACACGCCCATGCGCTTTGAGCATGAAGGAATTGGAAGGAACATGTCAATAGATAGGCACATTTGCCGGACCCCATGTGCCTTCCCATCTGGCGTCTCTCTCTCTCTCTCTCACCCCAGTGCCTCCGCATGTTTTGCACAAACGCCACCACGTGTTCCTGGATTCTTGGCACGAATAACGTCCCATCAGCCTGAGAGCCGCGAAGAAGGGGTCCTCTCCGGGTCGTTTTCTGGGGTCCGACGCGAAGACAGAACACACCAAGGAGGGGCCATCACTCTCAGGTTGGAGGCCATCGCTCTCAGGTTGGAGAGGAACTGGAGATCCCTAGAGGTCCGGCACGGACATGTAAAACTGGAGTTGGTCAACTTCTAGCTTCACACGACTACCCCAGGAGGACAAGGGACCGGGGAACCACTGCGTCAGAATGGACCCACTAAAAGGGTTTGAAGACATATCATAAGCACAAACACGTTCATTCAAATATATGACTACTTAGTTTCTGCTTGCTTGCTGGTAAATCAGTCGTTTCTCTTAGTACCTTGGCAGTTCTCAACTTGAGGTTCTGAATTCGGGCTTTGGATCCAGTCCTCCGTTTTGGCCACAGGTCACCTCTCCAGCTCTCTCCGGCCGTCTCGCACCATCACACCGTGCCTCCCACACACGCTGCTGCAAAGTTCGGGGTAGGTCCGCCAGTCTTAGACGACCAAGTTCGATGGGGTTCGGTTCTGATTTTTGCGGCGCCTACTAAAGCATACACGACAAGAACACGGAAGCGTGTGGGGGATTATATTGGCATTCCACGATATGAACGATCACCGCACTTGGTTTTGGTGGCTGTGTGGGGGGAGATTGTAAGGCTTGTGGAACTGTAGCACCTATCTATCGCTTTGCCGAAGTTGCACTCAAGGAGCTGAAGTTGCACTAAAAGCCATATGGGCTCCAGTTCATCGCAGTGACACAACAGTCAATGGGACTCAGTGTTGCCTTCTTCTCTTTGAACCCGTTCCTTAGCCCGAAGCTCCTGAGTAGACCTGGAGCTGAACAAGCAGGCAAATCCAAGCACTTTCCACCCATCTCGTCTTCCAATCCCTTCTCTTCTCTCGTGGCTGCTTGCTTGCTTTTGTGCAGCTACTTGCTGGACAATTCGTGAATCTATATTGCTATAGTGGATGCTGTTGGCAAACATCGCGTACATCGTACTGTCGAACTAGCCATCACTGTCTCAGTGTCCAGCTGTGCAATGGACCAGAGCACCTGTGCTCCAAACCATTTCAAAAGAGAAGTAGCTCTAAGACTTCAAAGACATTGAGGGTGTTCAGGTCACGAAACGGTGCTTGGGGAGGCTGGTTGGTTCCTCCTATCCTCCATGGCCATAAACATCTTGCTGCAAGGCTGCCAAACCATTCTTGTTTGCTTTGGTGTTTTGACATGCCGGCTCTTCTTCACAGAACATATAGTAACATAGTAGTAACTATAGACTACATATTAGTATATGTACATGGGTAATCATAGGGTCTGTAATTACATCGTTCCTTACATCGTTCTAATGTGCCCATGGTTGCTTTGGAGGGACTGGGACTGCTTTCCAAAGGCACCGACCCGCAGGCTGTACCCGGCACGTGTGCCCCATGCCTTCTCCTCCAGGTCCTTCAGCAAGTCGCTAAAGCACGATCGAAACTTCTCAGCCTCGGCTTCAAACCCTCGGTGGCTGTGTGGCGGTGGCTTCAGCGGCCCAGAGGTGGTTGTTCGTGATCTCTGAGCAACTTGGCCATCCCAGCTTTGGGAGAAGGCAAGTACTGCAACATGCAACAATGGCTGAGTCTTGCAGACGTGCGGCACTCGGCTCATTCAAGCGATGTAGAACGTTCAAAATCACCACAGCCACCTCCAGCAGAACCGTCTAAAAATGTCTAAAAGTAAATGTGCACAGTGTCATGGGTCCCAAGAAGGCTCCAAAACAGCCCGCAGACAGCACGTGGCAACACCTCAGACTGCAGACTGCATGCATTCCGCCAGGTGTAGACTCTATGGGTGTGGTCGAAGAGGGGGAAAAAAACGCGAAAAACACCCGATTCAATCGCCCTGCGCAAGATGGTGGAGTTGGATCGATGAGACGAACGCCCAACGATCTTCGATCCCTGCCTTTGGAGATGCGGCGTGAAATTGCATGTGCCGCAACACCTCGGCCCAGTGCACACACAATGCATGCCACAGGAGCCACGAAAAAAATCACGTCAGAGAATGGTAATCGGCACATGGTCAACTTCACCCTGCATGTTAATAGCTAGCAGCTAGCATGTGTCATAGCTAGCATGTGAGGGACGTCACGATGTTAGAAAAACATTGCACTTGACTTGAGCCTACCTAAGGTAGACAAGCATCGCATAACAGTCCTAGTCGCCATTTAGTCAGTCCTAGCAGTTGGACTTTCCATGCCTCCTCTCCAAAGGTCTCAAAAGATTTGCTTCTGCACAAGTTCAGCTCACCTTCTCCACTGCAGCTGGCAGGCCACGTTTGAACTCCTGTGCCTCAGCTATGGGGCGTGGCTCCATGGCTATCACGCCAAGCTGCGGCAAAATCTGCAGGCAAGTTTGATGAGTGAGGCTCAAGAATGCACCTAGTAGCGATGCCAGGAGCCCCTAGTAGCGTCCTTGCTCCTAGTAAGGCCAGGAGCCCCTAGTAGCTTCTTGTTCCATAGTAGAATGTGAGGCCCAAGCCAGCAAAGAAGGGAGCTCCGAAAGAATCTGCCTGAAGACCTCGCCAGTCGTCCTGGGCGAGGTTGGAGCAGACCGACTTGTGACTGTTTCAGGACTTGGCTGATGACAGGTGCTGAGCTGATTCACTCAGCCATGGAGTTACGGAGTCACGGGTTCAGGCACGAGTTCAGTCAGGGACTCTCCTTCATTCGTTGATTTGGTTGTCTTGCGCATCCGTTCCTGGGTCAACCGAAGTGATCCCGTATACAGCCCTTGTATGAACGTCTCATTGTGCAACACAGAAGCTGTTCCACCATTCCGAATGGTGCCTAGATCCGCTACGGCTATGCAAGCACAGTCGTGCTCAAGCTGCTGGAAAGCTTCCAGCTCTGAACGGGCTGCCAAGTGGCCGGCCCATGCAACACATGAATTCCAAGGCAGGCTGCAAGCCTCCCAGGCGGAGGAATCCGCCAAAACGACACGTCCCGCCCCCTCTAGTCACGTCGGGTGCACCGAAACCCAACACCGAACTTCCCCCAGCCGACCATGCGCTTGCGGTCAGCTTGCGCTTGCGCTTGCGGTTGCTCTCCCCCCACTACGCCTGCCACTACGCCTGCCAACTCGCCTGCCACTACGGTACCCCCAGGTACCAGACACTCCGTTCGCGCGCGCGTCGGGCGTTTCAGCTCACCTGGATCAAACGAGAGCTCTTCGGACTGAAGCGCCGCGGCACAGGTCGCCACCTTGGCCGAAAAGAGATAGGCCGATGGGGATCGGTGGGTCCCAACGGGGTGGACGAACAAAAGGAGCGGAGTCAAAAGCCTTGAGACCTTTCTTTGAATCTGGATGAGTCGAACGACATGGGATGGCAAAACCTCTGAAAGAGGCCAAAAATCATGCACCCACATGGTGTTCCCCTCTTTTCACCACGCTGTCAGCCACTTCTCAAGACCGCTCCATCTTTTGCTTCGGGTAAGCGAATGTAGGCGATTCACGTAGAATGAGATGACACGTTTAGGCCACCAGTTGCCTGAAACTCCTCCGAATCTCGTTTGTTCAATTCAGGTGTTCCATGTTCCACCCATGACTCTTGGCATGATTCCATTCAGGCAAGAGGCATCATCATGGCACTATTTAAACATCCAAGGTAAGCGAATTCAACCAGCCAAACAGGGACCGCAGAACTCATCGGGTTCCGGGTTGGTGGTCAAATCTGGGACAGCTGTCGGTTTGTTGGATTTGGGTTGGGTTGGTCCGTGCGGTCGCATGCGGTCGATATGCAGGTTCAGGGTTTGGATCTGGATCTCTTCAGTACTCAGTACTCTGGTGCTCGCTTTTTGCTTTCAGTTCTTTGGTTCAATTTGTGGAAGATGCTCCCCTCTTGGCTGTGGCCAATTGGCCCAACGGACAGGCATGCCAAGGCCCACACAGCACGGAATGCCTCTCTGTGCGACACCCTTCCACTTGTGCAGGCCGAGTTCCATGTCTGAACAGACCAGGTTCGGGCCAGATGTGTCTTGAAAACCTGCTACTACCTGCCCCCATAAAACTTGATAATCTTGATAGCTGGCCCACACGATCTTTAGCACGCATCTTTCGCCAAAGAGCAGTGGATGTGTCCTTGATTTTTAGAAAGGACGCCCAGTTTCTGGACCAACCTAGTCAATTTATTGGAACAACTTGAAACTTTCCAGCATGTCAGGGACATTGAGCGGCAGTTTGGTGCCCCTCTCTCATGCCCGGCTCACTGTCTGGACTGGCACAGTCCCATCTTTGCAAGCACCTCTCCTTCGTGTGAAGTCGCATCGCGGAGTGAAGTCAGAAGCTGGGCAAACAGAACCCTACTAGGCCCTACCAGCGGAAACTAATCCAAGTACCATGGGGTCTGAGGTGTGTATTTCACTGCAAGTTGCAGGCAAGTCTCCCTGTTCCACTGATGCATATGTCATCAGTCCGGCAGGCCAGTTGAGCTTTTGGGCCTTAGATCATGTGTGGCGATGCGGAAGGGGCAGCACCAGGCAGCGACTCCCCAGGAAGGGGAACAAATGAAGAGCGAGGCCTTTTCCTCCCCCCCCCCCAGGCCTCCCCCCCAAAAAAAATACAAAAAAAAGAAGAACGTGCTGAACAATGTTCGCCTCCAAAGTGCATGCATCAAAAGATCGGAGGCATTGGCTCCGGGTTGAGGCAATGGTGGAGGGGGTGGGACCGCTGCATGTGGTGGCAATCCTCCGGCTAAGGGATCTGTTGGTGCCGCATGCTGCTGCATTTGCATCATTGGCATTGGCATTCCTGCCATCACTCCATTCATTCCCGGCAATCCTGGCATATAGTTTGGTGCCATGTACCCAGCATGTGGCATGTGAGGTTGAGGCATATGAGGTGGCAGGTGAGGCGGCATCTGTGGTGGCAGCTGCTGGTGAGAGACCACAGGAGCCTGGTTCGTCACCTGTGACGGCTCAGCCTGGCCCTTTCTCCGGGTCAGTGGATTGGCATAACAATAAACGCAGCCATGGGGGCATTGGAGCGTGTACTGACCGATATCGGTGGATCGAGTGCATTCACAATCCTTCCTCTGTCTGAGATCCTTGGCCAACGACATGAACACCTCGGTTCGTCTCGGGGCGACAGTCGTTCAGTCGAGCGTCGGAGGCGAGAACGACGACGGTCTGTGCCGTTTTCTTCGCCGTTCAAAGGCACAAATGCATGGACTTGGACAGGGAAAGCGCTGTAAATAGCGTTTTAAGTGATCACTCACCCGAACCGTTTTCATGGCGGCCAACCGAACCCCAAACGAGAAAAAAGCTCCAGTCATTTTTTTCAAGGCGCATTGAGCCCTTTTTCTCGTGCAATGCGGTCTGCGAGGCGGGCATCCACACACCTTGATTGACCAATCACCGGACAGTTGGCACTGTGCATCCTCTGCTCTTCGCGTTGTGCAGCTGCCAGGGCGCCTTCCGTTTCGCCTGCAGCTTTCAGGGGCACGTTGAAACTCCCTCAATGACAAACATTGCCATTGAAAACACCTGGCGCACCTTTTGCACCTTTTGCCTTGTCCGGGATCTGAAACAGAGCTGCTGCTCCTAGCATCTCCTAGCCATCCTAGCCTTCCTTCCAGACCTGCCAACATCCTCCCACCATCCTCCCAACCACGCGCGACCTCCGCGTCGCTTCCAAGTGACTCTGAGTAATTGGATACCCCACGAGGCCCTTGTCTCCACAACAGCGCATCTGAACACCATAGCGGTGAGCCACGGGCATCAATTTGTCCAAGACCGCGCACTGCTCGGCACGGGACAACTGCACCAACCTGGGCAGACAGGAGAAGCATCCGAAAATCACATTGTAAAACTGCCATCTGCATTGGGCTTTGCCCCGGCACAGTAACAGTGACCACAAATCATACCACAAAAAAACACAGCAATTTGGCCATAGTTGGCATTAGGATGACTTTCATTTGCCCTTTCTAACGCTGGCTACATTAATCATGTGTGTGTGACGCGTGCGTTTGTCTGGCGTCATAAGCATAATATTTATATAATAAGTATATACGTAAGTATATAATATATACATACAGTATATAATATACGCATGTCTATTTATTTATTATATATACATATTGAATATACTGAATATATATATATATTATATATAAAAAAATATATACTTATATATATACCCCAAAATGTTTGTACGTTTGCGAAGTAAGCCACAGAGACGAACTGTCAAACAGTCAACGGCTCAAACCGTTCCAGCTCGCTGTCATCAACTTGGACCTCCTGGGCTTCTATCAATTCGTGGCCCAATAGGCTCCAGGAGAGGACCGGCAATTCACATGCTCTTGGCCGGATGATTACACTTGTCCGCCTGACAGATTAGCTGATGGTAGCGCCCGGAGAAAAGAAAATGAGCTGCTGCCAGAGAAAATGAGCTGGGCAGAGCTGGGCTCTGGCAGGCCTGGTAGAAGGGGAGGGAGAGGCCGGGCAGGCCGCCGGAACTGTGGGCGGCCCCGGTGTTCCAGGCCCGGGGGGGGGGCTGCCCTTTAAAACAAAAGAAAACTGGAGGCCCGCTACTTTAAAAGGAAAATGAAAAAGGAGCAAAGCCACAAAAAAAGGCACAAAAAAAAACACAAACAAAATGCACAAAACCCACCACAATTTTGTGGATTTTTTTGTGTTTTGTGTGGTCTGATTTGTGCTTCTTTTTTTTTGTGGTATGACTTGTGGTTTTTTTGTGATGTGAGTTGTGATTTTTTGTGTTTTTTTTTGTGGTATGACTTGTGTTTTTTTTGTGCTGTTTGTTGTGGTGTGACTTGTGTTTTTTTTGGTGCTCTTTTTTGTGATATGATGTGTGCTTTTTTTTGTGGTATGACTTGTGGTTTTGTTGTGCTTTTTTTGTGGTATGAGTTCTGGTTTTTTGAATAGAAAATCAAAGGTGGGTGGCACGAGACAAGGCCATGTGCATTGATTTTATGACTTTTGTGGTCTGATTTGTGTTTTTTTAAATGTGGTTTTTTTGTGGTATGACTTGTGTTTTTTTGTGCTTTTGGTGGTATGACTTGTGTTTGCTTGTGATCTTTTTTGTGATTTTGTGTGCTTTTTTTTGTGGTATGACTTGTGGTCTTTTTTGTGCTCTTTTTTGTGATATGATTTGTGATTTTTTGTGCTTTTTGTGGTATGACGTGTGGTGTTTTTTGTGCTTTTTTTGTGGTATGACTTGTGGTTTTTTGGTGCTTTTTTTGTGATGTGATTTGTTATTTTTTTGTGCTTTTTTTGTGGTATGACTTGTGGTGTTTCTTTGGTGCTCTTTTTTGTGATGTGACTTGTGATTTTTTTGTGCTTTTTTTGTGGTATGACTTGTGGTTTTTTTGGTGCTTTTTTTTGTGATATGATTTGTGCTTTTTTTTTGTGGTATGATTTGTGGTCCAGGGCGGAAGACAGCCACAAAAAAAAGCACAAAAAAACACGGGGATTTGGGCAATTTTTTTGAAAATTTGGGGTGGGGAGCCGGGAGCGACAAGGTGGGGAGCCGGGAGCGATGGGTGGGGAGCCGGAAGCCAGGGGGTGGAGCAGGGAGCCAGAGCCAATTTGGACTTGGCTCTCATCCTGCTCCCAGTGTAATCACAATCTCCCTTCCTTTCTTTCTTTCCTCTTTCCTTTGGCTGTGACAGCACGCAATCCTGGCCACCTGCTACCGTTCCAGTCTTGAGCCATCATATCATATCATATCATATCTTTTTATGGACATATCGTCGTTTCATATTTTGTAATTATGTAGATACGATATATGTTATGGTCAAAATATGAGAATATGAATATGCTTATGGAGTGTTGAACTATTAAATTTATTATGAAATTATATACTATAATATAATTTAAAATATCGAACAGAACATCATATACGGTCACCTACAGTGGTGAAAGGTGGACTGTATGGTATACTTCGACCCACTAAGTTGTTGACGGTCTACCGGTCCACCACCTGTCAGTCTGCATGAACAAGAGATTAATCTTGTGGTTAAGTATCAATCATTCTTTGAATTGCCACTTGAGATTGACAAATTAGTGAAGGGATTGGGATGATACTGGTTGTTGTTGGTTTGCAATTATGTTGAGATTTGTGTTCTTTTTGAGTTAACCCGCCCACTACTCCAATCATTTTGCGTTTCCTAGACCAGAAATTACAATCAAATTTCCTTTAATGACTTTGAATATGATTGTTGTTTTTGGGGGTATGGTTTAAGGGC